AATGAACCCTTGAGAGACATGTTCCCTGATATCTTAGGTTATTACTGCAACATAATGCAACTACCAGTAATGTACGGAGCCAGCGTGGATGGGATCTCACTTTCAGGAAAGCATTAAATGACTGGGAACTGGGGATAGTGGCTGATTTCTATCAAGCTTTGGAGGCAAGGGCCAAATGATAATGAAGATATCATGGTAAGGGAAGGCACAGGCAGGAAGGTTCTCCCAGTCAGAGAGGCATATGCATATTATTCAAATATTGGACAACAGTACATCAACTGCCCATGGAATCCGATTTGAAAGCTCAAGATACCTTGCAAGGTTAATTGTTTTACATGGCTAGTAGCAAGAAGGACTTGTCTAACTCAGGAAAATCTACAGAGAGTGGGTATGCAGTTAAAATTAGATGTTTCTATGCAAAGTTGAATCTAAAAACAACAACCATCTTTTCCTTTCACTGTATCTTCACTTCCCAACTATGGAATCTGTTTGTGGCCCTGGTAAACTGAAAATGTATAATGTCAGGAAATGCATGTGATCTATTGAAAGATCGGAACTATGCTGGAAAACATGTCAAACTGAAGAAGTACTGGAGGATTGTTCCAGCTTGCATTTGGTGAACCATATGGCAGAAAAAAACCAACAAATGTTTTGAAGATATGAGTAGCTTCATACAAGTAGTTAAAGTGAATTGTATTTTAAATTTCTAACTTTGGTGTAAAGAGTCTTCTTTGTAGAGGATGCAGAATCTATTCTGCAATTTTTGGAAGCCATGTAAAGTACTCAAGGTTGTAGCTTGTAAATATTGCTACCATCAAGTTTTTATGCTGATGAATAAAATGTTACCATTATTGAAAAAAAAAATTGACTTGGGTTAAATCTCCGGCAGCTAAATATCCATAACTGGCTTCTTATATCACTTCGGGTTTAATTCAAGATGTTGAACCAATCAAGGCGAGGGGTAGGAGTCACAAAGCACAATCCAGATGAGAATAAAAATTCTCAGTTGGAATGTCAGGGGTCTGAATGACAGTAGGAAGCGGAGTACCATTAAGTCTCTATTAATGAAGTGGAAGGCTGACATAGTTTGTCTTCAAGAAACTAAAATTGAGGATTGGTCACAACAACTAGTCAATTCTCTTTGGGGGAATTGATGGGCCAGCTGGGCAGAATTACAAGCAAACGGTACCAGGGGGGAATCATAATTTTGTGGGATAAAAGGTTCTGGAAAAGTGTCAACATCGAACCAGGAACCTACTCAGTCTCTGTAATTTTAGAGAGTATCCAGGAACAATTCAGATGATGCTATACAGGAGTGTATGGACCACATACAAACAGCGAAAGGGAGGATCTTTGGTATGAACTTGCCTGGATTAGGGGCACTTGGGATGGTCAATGGGTGTTGGGAGGAGATTTAAATGTGTGCAGATTTGACTACGAAAAATTCAATTGTCATAGAAGGACTAGAGCCATGGAGAACTTCTCAGAAACCATACTAGATTTAGGACTCATGGATTTACCTCTGCGAGGAGCGCAATATACATGGTCAAGAGGAACTGGGCTTTTGCAGGCATCGAGAATTGATAGATTCTTGATCTCATCAGAGTGGAATGACACTTTTAAGACAATAAAGCAAGTGGCCCTTCCTAGAGTAATATCTGACCACAAACCTTTGATGCTTGAATGTGGGGAATAGGACTCTAGCTCATCCTACTTCAAGTTTGAAAACATGTGGTTACAGGCTGAGGGGTTCCTTGATTCAGTTAAAAACTGGTGGAGTAGCTATGAAGTAGAGGGCAGTCCTGATTTCGTTCTAGTACAAAAGTTGAAATATCTAAAAAAGGATATCTCTACTTGGAATAAGGAGGTATTTGGGAAGTTGGAAGAACAAAGAAGCCAGGCTTTGAATGACCTCACTAATCTAGAACAATCTTCTGAAGGCAGAATCCTTTCCGAGGCTGAAAATGCTCAAATGATTAACTTGCAAACACATTTAGAACAATTAGCAAAGATTGAGGAGGTTTCATGGAGACAAAAGTCAAGATGTTTATGGCTTAAGGATGGGGACAGGAACACTAAGTACTTTCAGAGCGTGGCTAATGCTAATAGAAAGTACAATTGTATTGATAAGCTAAAAATAGCGGAGCATGTAATTGAGGATAAAAGAGAGATCAAGGAGGAAATTTTGAGCTACTATCAGCATCTGTATACAGAAAATGAACCATGGAGACCATTGGCTAGATTTGAGAATTTAGCTAGAATCTCTGAAGCAGAAAGTACTTGGCTGGAAAGGGAGTTTGAAGAGGAAGAGATCTTCTCAGTTATTAAAAGTTGTGCTCCTGATAAGGCTCCGGGGCCGGATGGTTTTACCATGGCATTTTTCCAACATGCCTGGGAGATTATCAAGTACGAGATCATCAAAGCTTTGAGACACTACCACCAACACTGCCACATGGTCAAATCTGTAAATGCCACTTTCATATCCTTGATTCCTAAAAAGAAAGGGGCAATTGAGCTCAGAGATTATAGACCAATCAGCCTTATTAGCAGCATTTACAAGATAACATCAAAGCTTCTGGCAAACAGGCTCAAAACAGTGATTGGAAAATTGGTTTCTGGAAGCCAAAATGCATTTGTTCGAGGAAGCGAAATATCAGATGCAACCCTCATTGCTAATGAAGCTCTAGATTGGAAAATAAAGAGTGGAGAACCAGGGTTGCTAGTGAAGCTAGACATTGAGAAAGCTTTTGACAAAGTAAGCTGGTCATACTTACTTACTATCCTGAGGCAAATGGGGTTTGGCGAAAGATGGATAAGATGGATGAAATTCAGTATCACAACAGTCAAGTATTCTATCTTGGTGAATAGATCACCTGTGGGTTTCTTCCCTCCCCAAAGAGGGATTAGACAGGGTGATCCTATTTCACCATTCTTATTCATCTTGGCAATGGAAGGCCTCAGCAAAATGATTCAGCAAGCAAGTTCTTTGCATTGGATTGAGCCATTTAAGATAGGAAGAGATCCGACATCTCAAGCTAATGTATCGCATCTGCTCTATGCAGATGATACATTGATTTTCTGTGGTGCTGAAAGATCACAAGTGATGCAGCTTAATCTAACTTTGTTTATTTTTTAAGCTATTTCAGGTTTACACATGAATATGCAAAAGAGCACTATCTACCCAGTTAATGAAGTTTTAAATCTGGAGGAGCTGGCTGATATCATGGGCTGCAACATTGGCTCATTTCCTTCCACTTATTTGGGTCTTCCTTTGGGTGCTCAGCATAAATCCACTGAAATTTGGACAGGGGTTATTGGAAAGTTTGAGAAGAGGTTGGCAACATGGCAAATGCAATACCTCTCCTTTGGTGGTAGAGTAACACTTATCAATAGTGTTCTAGACAGTTTACCTACTTATTACATGGCCTTGCTCCCAATGCCAAGTGAGGTTATAGAACAGATTGACAAGATAAGAAGGGACTTCCTCTGGAAAGGCAACAGGGAGAAACACAAATTTCATCTCATCAAATGGGAGAAGGTCACACAACCAAAATACCAAGGAGGTCTTGGCATTAAGAACCTTGCAGCCCACAACAAAAGTATGATGATGAAGTGGCTTTGGAGATACAACTTGGAAGATGCAGGGCTCTGGAAAGAGGTCATCATAGCTAAGCATGGAAGGCTGAATCAATGGTGCTCAAATATTACTACACTTCCTTACGGAGTGGGACTGTGGAAGAGTATTAGGATGTTGTGGGATACATTTGATCAGAATGCTTACTTTGAATTGGGCAATGGTGTACTCCTAAAATTTTGGACAGACAAATGGCTTGGAAATATCACTCTTCAGGAGGATTTCCCAGATCTGTTTAGAATTGCTCAAGATCCCAATTCTATTATTGCTGCTAATAGAGAAGGGATCAATTGGGATATAAGATTTAGAAGAAATATGCACGATTGGGAAGTGAATGACCTGGTAGACCTTTTTGCTAGACTACAACATTGTCACATTAATCTCCAGGCAGCTGATAAGCTCAAATGGGGACACCAGAAAGGAGTTTATACAGTCAAGGAAGGGTATCAACAGTTGTGCTCTAGAAACCCCGTGATAGCTAACTGGCCCTGGAAACTCATTTGGAGGACCAAGCTACCACCTAAGGTAGTTTTTTTTACCTGGATAGCTTTATATGAGGCATGTCTCACCCAAGACAACATAAAGAAAAGAAAAATCCAATTCCCAAACAGATGCTATATGTGCAAAAAAGAGGTTGAAACCCCCAGACACCTTCTTCTTCATTGTGAGGTGGCCTCAGAATTATGGAGCATGTTTTTTTGTCTCTCTGGCATCAATTGGACCACACCCCTCACTGTTAAGGATGCATATGAGAGTTGGAGTCTATGGAAAGTTGACAAAGCCATCAAGAAGATCTGGATTATGATACCTGCTTGTATTTTTTGGTGTATTTGGTTAGAGAGGAACAAGAGATGTTTTGATGGAGAGTCAACTGCTTTAGGCATTTTGAAGACTAGGTGCACTGAAAATTTGTTTAGTTGGACCAACTTGTATCCTGCTGTTAATGCAGAACAACTTCAGGATTTTACTAACTCATTAGCTCTGGCTTAGATAGTTTGTATAGTTAGCTAGAGATTTTTTTTGTAAGCTCAAATGCCATATCTTGTAAATTATGCATCTTCCTGATGCTGTTATTAATACCACTTATCTTATCAAAAAAAAATATCACTAATAACAACATTCTCTGTTACTTTTATCAAAAAAAATAATAACATTTTGGTATAAGAGAATAAAGGTTTGATATCTTCATTTTTTTTCTTCTTGATGGTAAATGTGTCTCAACAACTTCCTAGATAAGATCAACATCACTGTTGTTGGGTACATAAAGTGACTATAATCATTTACTGATCAGTGATCAGTTAGGTTAACATTTAAATCAGGATAGCACTACTGAGATTTGAAGTGGAGAAATTGGATGTTGATACTGTTACACAGGCAAGTAAAACTGCAATGAATTTCAACAACATGTGAAGTAACAAACCGACAAAGATATAGATACCTTTCCAACCTCCTTAATTGTTGAGAATTCTTGTTCAACAAACAGCTTATGCATAATTGTTTTTTTATGTAAGGAACTTCGTTGAATCATCTCTAACTCACTGTCATCCCAGAATATCTGCAAATTTTAAACCAACTAATATCAACTTTGCTGAAATAACAACTTTCCAACATATGATTCTGGAATCAGATTCCTTGCTCGCAAACATCAACATATATTTTTCCCCTTTCTCCACAATCTCTTTCCAGTGAATACAGCCTCTCAGTATGACTCAGATGTCACAAAGAAATGGAATGTCTTCTCTCAAATCCATGGATCCCTAGAACTTAGTAGAATAATTCAAAAATTCCTTTATCCTGACTCTTATTGACACAATTCCATCCCGGGTTTTATTCATTTAGAGGGGTATTCCCTCTTCCAATCTATTTGTAGAAAACTAGTTGTACCCCCACCAAGTTGAAGAAGAAGTGTTAAAGAGGGATGAACTGAAACTAGAATTCATAATAAGGGAATGTTCACATATTATCAATAAAATTTACTGTGTTATGCATATCTTCAGGCCGGGGAAGACGAGTAATGTAAGGGTCCCATTCCGATTTCTGCAAACAACACGGCAGGACAGAGGTCACAAATACTCAAACAACAGAGGCTCTAAGTTTACAATCTGAGCCAAAGTCATGCAAAATCATGGTACCTTGCCCAAATTTTGCTCGTATAAAATCAACAAGGCAACTTTAGCAACATTGCCCACATAATCTCCTAATAATGAATTGATTCCTCTAGGAAGATCATCAGGGGCCAATTGCTGCAATAAGAATGTAAGTTCTGTCAGGTACAGTAACAGAACCAATTAAACAATTGCAAGAACTCCAGTTAAAGAATCACATACCACGTTGTAAGGAACCTTCAACAAGCAATCGCCTGGGTTTATAAGGTGACGAGCAACGAGCGACCTGCATATAGAAGGGAAAGTGACTTGACTTAACCATCAAAGCTATTAGAATGCTTCATAACACAGTACAATGAATCCAATATATTTTCCCGGTCAGCAGGATTTTGAACTCCTTTCCGAGAAAAACAAGGATTTACTTTTTGCAAAAGACAGTAAAAGAAATCAATCACAAGAATACAAACAGATGGTTATCATAGCAAATGCACAATGTCCTGTGTCAGATAAATAGAACTTAACCTTCCATTAGCAGACTTTCCAATTGAAAGCAAGGAAGATATCTCCACCCCTGCCTTGTGTTCCAACCACGGTAAAAAGTCATTACACTCTTCATCAATGTAGCACTGTACCAGAAGGGAGTACTAAAATTAGCAACTTGTTCAAGTCTGCAATAAAAATACTCAACAACAGTGAACTGAAATTGGGAAAATTACAATAACTAAGCAAAACCGATTGATAAGAGCTGAGGGGAAGAGTAATAAGTATACAGAAACTAGAGAATAATAAAGTAATCAATAGAGAGGAGACAGAAGGAATTGTGGATGCGAAACACACACTTTGGCTAAGCATAATCACAATACGCATAACCTAGATCCCAAATCAACATTTGCTTCTTGTCATCCATGTACAATGATACATTTTCAACTCCAAAAGAACATTTTTGATGGAAGATAACTGAGTTTGGAGAAAAACCTTAGATACACAATTGGAGAAACTGAACTGGCAGCGGAGCCGACGGATGATAGAGAGGAGTGAGCATGGTGGCCGCCAGGTGTTTGAAAATATGACTCTATGGAATATTAGCATTTTTAAAGAGAATCAAAATGCAAAAAATTTCGCGCGTTGCCTTATAAGGTCGCGTTATAATGTTATTTACTTGTGGCCTAATTACTTGTACGCTCTTGAATTCATACACTTATTAAGAAAATAATTATTAACATAGTTAATTTATCATTTTACTCTATTAATTATGAAGGGAATGAATTAAAAATTTAAGGTTTTCGAAAAGTTCTATCTTTTTTAAAGTAATTAATTGAGGGTATAATAGGTAAAAATAATTTGTCATTTCTTGATTTGTCAAAATTGAAGTAATTAGAGACACTAAAAAGGAAAAGTGGACAAGTAATTAGGGACAGAGGGAGTATGTCGTAAGGGGCATGTTCAACCATACACTCTATTTTACTCTTCAAATATACAGTTCTCTATTTTTTCAGACAACCAACTCCAACTCAATTCTCTATTTTACTCTTTAAAAAAAAATCTTATCTTTCCTCAATATTATATTATTATTTCTATTTCTATTTCATTTTCTTATTTCATAATATAAACTCGATCTTTCTTTTTTTCAAAATAATTACCCTATATAATTTTCATGTAATATAAAATTATTTTTAAAAAAAAATCTTTATTTAGTATAAAATTATATTTTATTCTAAATTTTAAAGAACAACTACGAAAAATTGAAAAAAGAAATCAACAAGCACAACCGCAATCACAAACACAACAACTCTCTAGATCATACACTATCTTTTTTTCGAATATTGTTAAATCCGAAAATGGCCTACTAAATAATTAAATTATTGTTGTGATTTTAAAAATCATTATGTTATGTATTATATTGTTATCTTGTATTTAAATTATTATGTCATGCATTAATAGCATTATATGAAAAATAATATGTTAGTTACAAATATTAGAAATGATATTCAAATAATGAAAAAGTGAAAATAGAGAAATTTGGAGAATTATTATTCACCTCTCTATAAATAGAGAACAGAGAGCTTTTTAGAGAGTGGTTGAGACCCATATATCTATTTTACTCTCCAAATATAGAGAATGGAGAGTAAAATAGAGTGGGGTTGGAGATGGTCTAACGAGGAAGGACACCATTCAGGGAATGCACAAATAACCAAATTTGGACCCCCATTTAAGAGTTTGTTTGGCATTACTGTTAAAAACTACTTATTTTTAGAAGCATTTTTTTAAAATAACTTTTTTTAAAATTGCTTTTGAAAAAAAGTAATTTATGTTTGGCTAATTCATTTGAAAAGTGTTTTTGATAAGCAAATCGTGTTTGACTAATCTTTTACTTTTGAGAGTCAAATTACGAAAAAAATGTAAGTATCAATGTATTTTTATTACTAAGATTATTTTATAGAGAGAAACTATTTTAAATATCTATTAGAAATTTTTTAATGAAAATATGCATATTCAAATTTTCAATCAATATTATACATAAATAAATAAATAAATAAAATATTAATATAATATTAACGTGATGACTTAAATATAATTTAAAATATCAAGAAAAATAAATTTAAAAACTATTCCACAAATTAAACCACTATATACAAAAAATTCACCACAAAAATAAATAAATCCTTCATATTTTTAATCCTACAAAAATGTTGTTGTTACATTTATTTCTTTTTCTGCAAAATAAGACATAAAATAATATATAAATTATAAAATAATAATAGTATATAAACATAAAATGAAAAATTATTATACAAAAATAAAAATAAAATTCTTGTATGAAACTTAACCAAATTTATGATATATGTTAATTAATTAATAAGGGATATATTGGTAAATATTTATATATGGGAGGAATATTTTAGTCTTCAAGAAAATAATTTTCTACTTCTGCTTTTTTTAAGCAGAAATTTTAAGCTTCTTCCCAACAGCAGAAAACTGATTTTGCTTCCATTTAAAAGCAGTTTTGAGAATTTGTCAAACACTAGTTTTTTTCAAAAAGGGTGCCTTTATCGGAAAAAAAATACTTTTGGCCTCCCAACAACAATGCCAAACAGGCTCTAAATCATGATAGTACTCCCTTCTTTCCATATTAGACCGACATTTTCTATTTTACATGATAATTAAGAAATTATTAATAGATTGATCACAATTACTATTTCGCCATTTATTCATATTAATTAGCCGGCATAATACATAATGTCATTTAGCTTGGTCTCAACTCACATTTATGTCCTTCAACTCTGGGTGTGCACAATTAAACACTTAAACTTGTATAAAGTTAAACAAATAGGCACACATATCCTACATGGCAATGTTTGTCCTACATGGTTTCTATGTGTATTATGTCACGTAGGACTCATGTGTCTACTTGTTCAACTTTATACAAGTTAAGTGTCTATTTGTACACATCCAAAGTTAGAGAGCGTAAATATGAAATGAGGCCAAGTTAACAAACACATTTATGTATTATGCCTAATTAGCCTCTTGAAAAAAGAAACTTTAGATCTTCAAAATTTGCTTAAACTTCAAATGGCATATTAATTGTAGAGGTAAAATAGGAAAAAAAACTATATCATTATTTAGTGAGAGAACAATTAATATAGAACAAATATTTTGAGTAAAATGTCCATTTAATATGGGATAGAAGGAGTATAAGTTATTCCACTTCAAACAAATGCAAAAGTTGCAAATTTCATGTCTACACTTTGCCTCAAGTTTGGCATATTAGTTGTGCAAGCAAACTTCACATCTTTTATGTAGACTTTATAGGAATTTGACTTACCAAAACCAAACATTGTGTAATTTCTGACCTAATCAAATTACTATCCAATTCTCAATTTATATTGGACTAAAGTTTAACTTCACACATTGTGTGACTTTAAAATTGTCTACATCATGAACTTTACATTTAATATTGCTAAGTAAGTAAACTTGTAGAGACTGAAGCTCTTATCTTCATGCCTTTGTATAAGCTTAGGAACACTCTAGTGGCCACAAGTATATTCAATAGACCCTTTTTTGGCTCATAGAAAGTTTAACTTATGTGATTATAATACAAGCAACTGAAAGAAGACTTTATTCATTCAAGAGAATCAAATATAGTGGAAGATTGATCGGTATTTTAAAATTACAACAAAAAGAAGAAAATGATTCATCTTAATTCTTAGCGCTTGATTAGCCCTGCAATGGCAAACACAAAAGTGAGTAGAAAGATGACGAAAAATTGATAGTTTATTGCGACCTATTGTTAGTGTAAAAAGAATTCAATTCTTGTTTGATTAGTGTAATACCTAGGTGCTTATGGTTGTCTTTTGTCCCGTGTCGAAGGCTTACGAGCTTAAATTTGAGAGTTTTATAGTAACATCGTGCGTGATTCGGTAACATCAAATTTAGATCAAAATTTATTAATCATTGTGATTTATATTACTTTTTAACTCATTTTCAATAGATATATGTAACTTCCTCTGACGCAATTTATGCGGCACTCATGAAATTTCGAGAGTCAACCAAATGTTTTATGTTTTTTAAATATTTTAAATTGTTAATTATTGTGATTTATAATATATTTTACTTAATTTTCAAATAATATATGTTACTTCTTCTTTTCCAACTTATGTGGCTCTAACAAAATTTGAGAGTCAATAGAACTTTATATATGTCTTTTTAAAATATTATAAGTTGTTAATTATTATAATTTATAGTACTTTTTATGTAATTTTAAAATAATATATATTACTCTCTTTGTACCAATGTGGCACAAATAGAATTTCAAGAGTCAACCAAAATTTTTAGATGTTTTTAAATATTTCAAGTTGTTAATTATTAAAATTTACACTACTTTTTACATTGATTTCAAATAATACATGTTAATTACTTTATTTGTCTCATTTATATATATATATTTATATGTGTGTGTGTGTATTACGGTTAAAACATGAACTCCTAACTTGAATGTTAAATTACTATAATACCCCTAACTTAGGTTGTGACTTTTCTGATAAGTTATGACTTTTTTCAAAGGGGTGTGATTTTTCGATGAGTTGTGACTTTTCCAAAAAGTTGTGATTTTTTCCAAGAGTTGTCACTTTCGAAAGGGTTGTGACTTCTTAGAAAGGTCATGACTTTTCATATAAGAAACAAAAAACACTTGTTCATACTACCCTTTGTTTACTATAAATAGAAGGATTTCCTCTCATTTTTCAACCACAATTTTTTTTTAATCTTCTACTCTTCTTCTTCTTCTTGCATTTTAAAAAAATTCGTGTAATTTATTGTCGTTGAGTGAGTTCGAAGTTTAGCGAAATATGAGGTACCACTATTCTGATTAAGTAATTTGTTCAATCCTAAGAGGGTATATTCCTTAACCTCGAGTACTTGAGAAAAATAATTCTGATAATATAATAATTATTTTTTGGTTTGTATATACATTAGTATGTAATGTTCCAATATATGAAGTTAGCATGATGTAGTCTAAATTCATTTGTTTTTGTTAATAATTTCTCTTGTGATGTAGATATATGCTTCTGAATATCTTTTTAAAAAATTATTAAAATTCTCAAGAGTAAGAGAATTATCACGATTTTTTTTTTTTTAAAGAATGACTTTATTTATAATTGCTACTTATGTGATTTACGTTGTCAGAAAGTTTGCTTCAAAACAGTTATTATTATATATACATTGCCCTTTTGTTTTACTGATTTACTATTTCTTAATATCTAAGTATTTTCGACGAAGGAAAGTCTATATGACTTGTAATAACCCAGTTGAAGTTTGTATTAGTTTAATTTTTATTGTAGTCTAAATTCATTTGTTTTTGTCAACAATTTATCTTGTGATGTAGATATATGCTTCTGAATATCTCTTTCTAAAATTATTAAACTTCTCAAGAGTTATTGAATTGTCACAATTTATTTTTTGATGCTCAAGATAAAAGAATGACTTTATTTATCAATGCTGCTTATGTGATTAAGATTCTCAGGAAGTTTGCTTCAAAATAATTATTACTTTATAAACATTGCCCTTTTGTTTTATTGATTTACTATTTCTTAATATTTCA